GCACAATACTTTCATTTTGTTTGTCAACTGCAATAAACAAAGCGGTTTGGCCATCATTATCAGTCTTGTTGACATCAGCACCACCATCAATTAACGCCCGCACAATACTTTCATTTTGTTTGTCAACTGCAATAAACAAAGCAGTTTTGCCATACTTATCAGTCTTGACATCAGCACCAGCATCAATTAACGCCTGCACAATATTTTTATTGTCATTTAGGACTGCAATAAASAAAGCAGTGTTGCCATACTTATCAGTCTCGTTGACATCAGCACCAGCATCAATTAACGCCTGTACAATACTTTTATTGTCCTTTCCAACTGCACCAAACAAAGCAGTTTTGCCATACTTATCAGTCTTGTTGACATCAGCACCAGCATCAATTAACGTCCGTACAATACTTTCATTGCCCTCTCTGACTGCACCAAACAAAGCAGTTTCGCCATCATGATAAGCGCTCTCGTAATTATTGCCAAATAGGTGTGCATCAAAGAAAGAAGTTTCATTTAAATCTCTATGAGTCTCGTTGACATCAGCACCAGCATCAATTAACGCCTGCACAATACTTTTATTGTCATGTAGGACTGCAATAAAGAAAGCAGTGTTGCCATACTTATCAGTCTTGTTGACAACTGCACCAGCATCAATTAACGCCTGCACAATACTTTCATTGTGTTTGTCAACTGCAATAAACAAAGCAGTTTTGCCATACTTATCAGTCTTGTTGGAATCAACACCAGCATCAATTAACGCCTGTACAATACTTTCATTGTCCTGTCTCACTGCACTAAACAAAGCAGTTTGGTAAACGACATCCGTCTTGTTGACATCAGCACCAGCATCAATTAACACCCGTACAATACTTTCATTGTCGTTTTCGACTGCACTAAATAAAGCAGTTTGGTAAACAATATCTGTCTTGTTGACATCAGCACCAGCATCAATTATAGCCCGTACAATATTGTCATTTCTACTTCTTAATGCGCAAAACAAAGCTGTTTGGCCATCACTATCAGTCTTATTGACATCAGCACGACCATCAATTATCGCCCGTACGATATTGTCATTTTTACTTCTTAATGCATAAAACAAAGCTGTTTGGCCATCACTATCAGTCTTATTGACATCAGCACCAGCATCAATTATCGCCCGTACGATATTGTCATTTTTACTTCTTAATGCGCAAAACAAAGCTGTTTGGCCATCACTATCAGTCTTGTTGACATCAGTACTAGCATCTATTAACGCATCTACTAGTTCTCCATTACCGTTACTAACCGCGTAGAATATAGGAGTTCTTTTCTGAAATTTATCGATTGCATTAACATCAGCTTTAGCATCAATTAGTGCGCGGGCTATATTTGAGTGGTCACATAAAACTGCAAAGAATAAACAGCTGTTTTCTTCTCTGTCTTTAATATTAACATTTGCACCAGCCTTGATCAGTACATGAACCACATTTTCAAAGTTACCAAGAACAGCATAAAACATAGGAGTTCTCTTCCAGGATTCATCAGTGATATTTACATCTGCTCCAGCGTCGAGTGAGCCACGGATCGCACTTTCGTTGTTATTCTTGACAGCATTGAACAGATCCAAATTTCCATCTTCTTCCGACAGACTCATTTGTTCTTCACCAAACATGTACTCCCGAGTCTGTGATCTTTTTGGACACACTGTACATCATTCTAGCGCCTTGTCGCATATTCCACGTTCTTGCCCATTTGTGTCAGTACATTACAGAACCTGTTAATTCTTTAAGTTGTTCTCTCCAGATGTAAGGAAGATCTTCTGATCTATAAAATCATATAAATTAATAATAATTTAATAATTTAGTCAATACATGACAGACTACGATGTTGAGATGTGGGGTGAAACTACTGCTTAGGGGATGGTGACAATAGGTTGATAAAGTATGCGCATGCGTACGTGTACTACGAGTGCTAAAATATACACTTACCACTTTTTCTACGAGTAAAACTCGTCAATTTAAAAAAAACTTTGTTAGAAGTTTCTTTTTCATTATGCATTCTTTCGGAAATTAGAAAATTAATATAGTCTCGTGCAAAATTTGAGGGTTGCCTTTTGAAGCAAGGTAGCACGGCAGAAATATATTAGTTGATAGGTCTTCCTGTGGTATTGATGTACTGACGTGTACTGTTTTCCTCGAAAATTGATGTGGGCTCAAATAAATATCAAATATCGTTTTGCGTCAAACTTTTGACATGGGGCCACCACAGGTGTGTGATAATACGACACGGAAAATGTTCAATTTCTGGCTTGTGTCTTTGTAAGTAGAGTTACAGACGGTTTATCGTCTTTCTTTTTGTCAGAAAACGCTACTTATAGGTCAAGGGACCTGTGACGTCACGTTGTCAGAGGGGTGGGTACCATCGTTGGCATACACAGACTTTGGTAGGAAAATTACGTCAAATATAAGGTTTGTTTCAAAAACTGGCTATAGTGTTATCCTAGTAAATCATGTGATGTGACGTCATTCACCTAAAATGGTCGGGGTGGCGAAACCAGGACAGGGGTCACCAGAGGTGTGGAGGCACCAGACCGTAGGCCAACAGACGTTGGTGGAATGTTCCTTACCCCTTCTCTAGCAAGGCGCCATAACGAAGTTGTTGCTGGAAGAGCCGCCATATTGAATGTCATTGATGCCGATTGTTTCTCCCTGTTTTGTTTTTTGTTTTGGCCTGATTCCAAGCGGTTAGCGGTAAACACGATGTTAAAGGTCTCTATTATTTTGACTTAGGGACTGCTCATAAAGTATGAGGGGGGGTGGGGCAAAATCAGAATAGAATCAGTGTTTTTTTATCTTGGCCCATCATAAAATGGTGAAAATGGGATGACCCAACCCCAGTTTAGAAGCAAAATTGCAGATGACCCACCCCTGAAAAATAATCTAAATCCCAAAAGAATTTTCTTGGTTGCACACGTCTACCACTTATTGTAACATTGACTGTTTCGGCTTCTTCTTTCTCTGTCATCGTTTTCCTCACTATCAGTAATTCCTATTTCATGAGTAACAATGTCAGTTTCTTCGTCGCTATCCAAATCTTCAGTATCCTCATTAGTGTCCTCATATGAATTATCATCATCTTCAGTGTCTTCGCATGAAGTACCATCTTCTTCATGCTCTTCCTCTGTTGTACTTGTTGTAGTATTTAAAAGCTGCATAGACAGCCAAGCATTTATTACTTGGACTTTCTCAATTTTGTACATTTCGCGCTTGAGCAAGTCGTGCTTTTTTTAAAAAGAGTTCCAAGACTGCAACCCTCTGCTTCTTAAGCATTCCGCTTTCTTTATGTCTTTCTAGTCATAGTCTTCGTATGCTTTAAGTTTCTCTGCTTCCTTATTTTTTTTCTTTTCATTTGCCCTTTTAATTTCTTTTCATTCGAAGGTACTGCAGATGTTCTACATACTTCCTAACCAGATCCTCTGCAACTGCAAATTTCCTTGAGAAATTCTGATGATGACAATTATGATACTACTCTATTTTGTAATGGCCCACTTTTTTAGTTGTCAAATTTTATCAACAGCCCACCCCTTTGAAAGAGTTCAAAATTATGTGACCCACCCCCTGATTTTGCCCCCCCCCCCATACCTTACTTTATGACCATACTTTATGACCAGTCTCTCATAACAGGAAGATCATTTTATACCACAGGAAGACCAATAAGTATAGATAATAGGACTACATGTCTTTCCAATTTGGAATTTATTGGATGAAAAAATTCTAAGGACTGGCAAGGATAGAGACATGTGAATAACCGTCCAAGGTGTTAAAAAAAGGTCTCTATCATTGCAAGCTCACCGTTCGTCTCGCTTCGATGCAAAGGCATGGCTACCTTTCAAGATGGCGCAGGGAACTGTGAAAGGGAYTATACAGATAGTGAGTATAATGTATGATAAACAAATTTATTATACATTTTACTAAGTATCTCAATTGTGATTGGTCGAGAGCCCTCAGCCAATCCCTGATATCGTGTGAACTCGACATGATAAATGCATTATCTGTAGGTTTTCCTTCAAAACGGCTCCAAGYTTTTTCTTCAAACTTCCTACATCAATAGACCAGAGCTTTATCTAGATGGTATTGAAATTTCTTCAGCTCGTCCTATCCAAATTTTGGARAAAAGATTTTTTAAAGTGAGGTGTACCTAAAGAGCTCGCCCCGCTAGAAATAATTAATTCAATATTAGTCGACAACAACGCTCTCGGAAATTCCACAATGTTAACTTCGGAATATCTGCATAAACACTATGACAWTGAAGATGTCGTTATGCGCGCTCTCAAAAACCGCTGAAATATCGACAAGATTTTATTGAAGAACCTTACGCGTTTTGAGCTTCAACAGGGCAAAACCCTCAAATTTTGCACGGGACTCTCTATTTTTTAATAGCTCATTCGAAAAAACTCCTAAAGATCTAGGTTTTATATCAACATTTTAGAAAAAGTTTATATCAGGAACAAATGAAAAAATAGATTTTTGTAGGGATTTTTGTTCGACTTTATGAGATTTTTTAAGAGCACCGAAACTACAAAATATGACAAATCAAYGTATCTCTTTGTCTTTTTGTCGAAAATATCCATGTATTATTGTAGAATGATTGACTAGCCTTCATTCGTGCAATCATAGAGTCTGCAAATAACTATTATCTTATGAATCTTAATAGTTTTTTCTAATCACTTCCGGTGGCGCAAGTTTTGCTCTAAACGGCTCGCGCTTAGGCTTCCATTAAATGCTGATTATCTCGAAAACAACCTCGGGACACCCTATTTTTCTTTCCATTTGGAATCAGCATTAAATTTCAATTCGGAAGTTTGAAGTTTTAAAAAAAGTTTAAGATTTTTTCCAAAAGTAGGCAGTCACCTTAAGGATTGAATATTGAGCCGCAAAATTATAGATATAAAATCATGTTGATGTTTGATGAGCGCTGTTTAATACTATGAAACTAGTTCTTTCGAGGGAAGATTTGTTATTATTTTGAGATACATACTTGCCTCTCCGCGACGGTCGACGGGACTAACTAGCAATCAAAGCTGAAAACACTTGAAATCAGATGAACTGAACTTTGTTACGGCTGCGAAAGGACCATGAATGGTTTTCATACGAGTGGGATAAAATTGACTCTAACGATATGCCATAGATGTACACTAATGTTCTTCCCAGCTTAGTGATTCGCTGTCCATCGATTATTATCATGTCTCTGCATAACACATGGTTTTTTGATGCTTGCTTTACGTTGTTTGGAGGCCAGTTTTTCTAGTACAACGGATTTATTYGAGCTTTATTCCGAGATACGAAATTCCGCTTACGTTGCTAAACCAACAAGAACGTCATGAAAACGTCGACCGTCTGATATGTCGGGAATATATCTAATGTTTCGTAGCTGGCTATCGATGATTTACAGCGTCCCTCACGTGAAACCTCTTCTAAACCGTGTAGATATAAGAGGATCATAAACAGTATTTCCCAAGTTGTTTTAATTCTCCACTAAAAGAGCAGAAAATGTTCAGAAACTCAAAGCCCTGTACGTCTTAGCTTCAAACTCTTGGATACAGTTACAAAGGTAGCCCATCAGACTATTTGTTGCAACACACAGAGTTAGGTACCAGTCACTCGCGTGTCTAGTCAGATGCCTGGTTACTTAGTTCTCAAGACAAAATGGCCGACTAGAAGACACGAAAAATTAAAAAGAAAGCACAAAAATTACTGTAAAAAATATTTTTTCATACCAAAACCATGGCTCCAATGGTGAGAATCATAACTAGATATGTTTATCAAACTATGATTTAAGTCTCAGTTCAAATGGTTAAACCTATTATTATATTTTTGTAGATTATAAGAATTCAGTCCAGTGAGGGAACCGTGAGAGTGAAAACCTCTTCTGATGAAACACTGTCGACATTTTTTAAAAAGGTAAGCTTAAATTATGTAAAGAAGAGTAAAGTTGATAAGTCTATCTAGCGAGACTGTGTTGGGTTATAGGATAAACATGTTTCTCTTTTTAATATATATAAAAAATATCACGATTTTGCGTGTAATTTTTCTTAGGATTAGAAGTTCATTGTATAAGCGTTTAAGTTCCTTTTTATTAACGGTAATAATAATTAGACACATTATTAAGTCTATTTGAATGTACACATTTTATTGTACATTGTTTTGTGTAGTTGGTAAGATTTGATAAAACAATTGCAAGTATATTCTGACCATAGATTATTCATGACTTTTCATTACCATATTAGTGGTTTTTAACCATTCCCAAGAGGATCAAAATATAAAAGACATGGCTGCCATACTGGTGGACAGTTACAAAAGGATTTAATGAGAAGTCTTTTGTTAAAGTCTGCCAGATGATGTAATATGATCTAGGTTGACTGATAGCTAGTGTTGGTTTATTTGTTTTAGATTGAAACAGAACTCTCTCTTCCCAAGAAAGGCTGGACGCTGTACAAGAACAGAAACAAGACTGAAAAAATTGAAAGCTCAACACGAAAGACTCTAGATTATATATCACTAAAGTGAGTATTGGAGCGATTAGGACAGGTTTTGGTAAAGACACTATGGTAGTATAATCATAGATATAGGGGACTGATCATTTATTACGTTCCAGGGGGGGAGGTGGTTTCTTCGCAAACAAAGGAAATAAAATTTGTACCCCCTTTAAAATCATTAAATAGAAAATGTACCCCCCTCTTTCAACACTACTACATACGTACCCTATCCCCCCAAATTCGGCCATTACAAAAATGTACCCCCCAATTTTTACTGGCTTTAAAAAAACCTACCCCCCTTTAACCCCTTACTCCCAGTACAATTCATTTTACATTGAGAAAGAATATATGGTTTTTTTACCTCCTCACRAAAGGTTCCTCTACTTTCTTCCCTCTTTACCACTCCTCAATAAATGTGACTTAAGAGAATCCTTGCCTTCTCTCCCATCTTTTTCCTTCTTCTCCTGTTCTCTCCTGTCCTCTCACATCCCCTCCCCTCTTCTCCCAACACAACTTAATCCTCCAGTTACTAGGAAATAAAAAGGGATGTGTAATACTAACTCCTCTCCATGCTAGTGGTATAGGTATTTTTTCCATATCCATGGTATTTTAAAAATTTCCCACTATTAATTATCATTACAGACATGGAGATATGTTATTCATTGACAAGTCCAAACTCTTGGAATCAGAAGTTCCTTCTAATGAGTCATCATCATCATGGACATCAACTTCAATTTCATCATCATCATCTCCTAGTGGTGCGTCATCTAATGATGTCAAGGAAGATGACATTGATGTGTTCCTGTTCAAAGAAGATGGCCTTATTCACAGAAAGAAGGATCCTCACATGTAAATAGTGTTCTTTTATAGGAGTGTGAAACCATATGATAAATTCATGACCATATTGTAGCTGAGACATATTTTACAGTACCCGTAACCAAGGCTTAAAATAATGGCTGGTCAGTTTCCAGTCATCATGACTGGCCAAATTAGTTCTAGATTGATCATACCTTATTTCTGGCTCAATGTTCCTGGTCAAAATGACTGGCAAAGCAAAGATTTGACTGGACAAGCTACAATTCAAATGCCAACATTGTCCATTGATATTGTCCAATGATGGACCATTGTATTTTTAGCCCTGCTTACCATGATTAGATTAAATACTGGAAGACAATGGGAAACCTTTGAATTAAATGTTACAGCATGTTGTACCTTTATTTGTAGCTTGTACCTAGTACATGTTTTAGGTCAGATTTAGTATTATCATCATCATCATCACCATCATCAACACCACCATCATTATCATCACCACGACCACCATCATGATCATCACCATCATCACCACCACCATCACCATCACCATCACCACCATCACCATCACCATCATCATCACCACCATCATGATCACCATCATCATCATGATCACCATGATCACCACCATCATCATCACCATCATCACCATCAT